CGTTAGATAGTATTATAGGATGCTAACACGAACACGATGAAGAATAAAGACAGCAATCAATCGATCAGCAACAACAACAACAACAACATAGTAATATATTACCAGTCGTAGTAATATGATGATGATCTACTGTTAGTAGTAGGTACCCCCATTAAGGGGCTTTCCTGGGACCAACAACACTAGTGATGTTGAGAAGAGTAGTAGGGGAATATATATTACTAGAGTAGGGGAATACTACTTACTAGGTGCTTGTGTTATGAATATAACCCCATTACGGAATGATAATGGTATTAATAGGGATATTATAGATCTTGATGAGATCGATGCACGATTGAGGCAAGCTTTATCAACGACGAAGAGGGATGGAAATAGTAAGAATAAACAAGGTAACATCATGACAACAAACAAGGTGAGTCCTAATGCTACTACTACTAATACAACAACACTAATACATGTATGTCCCATCATAGTGTTATGATGGCTGCGATAATGATGATGTCCCTGTAATGGAAACTACAAAAGCTGATGATAATATTGAAGAATATAAGGAGTTGAGGAAGGCTAGGTACATAGTTATGATGATACTTTTACAATGGGGCCTCGTCATGATCATCATATTGTTGATGAACATAAATATCCATTATTAGAGGTAGTAATAAGTATTGATAGTAATTGTTAGTAATAGTGATAGGATAATAATAATATGATAATGAAGACATCTAGAAGATCTACTTTACAAGCTATGGAAAAGGATAATGATGATTTATTCAATGAAAACCTTATATTAAGAAGGAATCTTGATGAGGCATTAAAGGTAGTAGTAAATAGGGAAACGGTAATAATTGTGGTGGTATGTGGATGATGTCTCTTTTAGAGATGTATGAAGATGGAAGAACAGCTAGGTATTCTTAAATTAGAAATGGCTAAAATAGGAAAAGAAAGAGATGATGCACAAGCTGATAATGAGTAATATAATAATACTATTATTATTGGATTATTCCCTAATAAGTATTATAGATACTTTGAATGGGTATTATATACTAATAGGGATGGATATATACCACCACCTATGTTAAAAAAGAAGGATACCTCATTTTTACGACCATCACTACAGGAAAATTGTCAGGATCATGATAACAAAGATAATAGGACACGGTATCATAATAATAGGATGAAGAACAAGAACCATAACAACAACAACAACAACGGCATTGGTAATAGTAGTAGTAATGATGTGAGTAGTATCTATCTGGTAGTAGTAGTAATGATGTGAGTAGTATCTATCTGGTAGTAGTAGTAATGATGTGAGTAGTATCTATCTGGTAGTAGTAGTAATGATGTGAGTAGTATCTATCTGGTAGTAGTAGTAGTAATGATGTGAGTAGTATCTATCTGGTAGTAGTAGTAGTAGTAATGATGTGAGTAGTATCTATCTGGTAGTAGTAGTAGTAATGATGTGAGTAGTATCTATCTGGTAGTAGTAGTAGTAATGATGTGAGTAGTATCTATCTGGTAGTAGTAGTAGTAATGATGTGAGTAGTATCTATCTGGTAGTAGTAGTAATGATGTGAGTAGTATCTATCTGGTAGTAGTAGTAGTAATGATGTGAGTAGTATCTATCTGGTAGTAGTAGTAGTAGTAATGATGTGAGTAGTATCTATCTGGTAGTAGTAGTAATGATGTGAGTAGTATCTATCTGGTAGTAGTAGTAGTAATGATGTGAGTAGTATCTATCTGGTAGTAGTAGTAGTAGTAATGATGTGAGTAGTATCTATCTGGTAGTAGTAGTAGTAATGATGTGAGTAGTATCTATCTGGTAGTAGTAGTAGTAGTAATGATGTGAGTAGTATCTATCTGGTAGTAGTAGTAGTAATGATGTGAGTAGTATCTATCTGGTAGTAGTAGTAGTAATGATGTGAGTAGTATCTATCTGGTAGTAGTAGTAGTAATGATGTGAGTAGTATCTATCTGGTAGTAGTAGTAGTAGTATTGAATAGGTACATCTCTTAGCCGTAAGATGAGGAAATCTTTTACAACGACAGCAACACGGCATCATAGTAGTCATCATTGATGTTGGATACTATTATAACAATAATCACATGATTTTCATGATCAACTTATTATTAATATACTTTTTGAGTTATTAATATACAGTATAAGGAGCATATTTTTTTCTTAGGCAAATTCAAAAAATCTGCGTTTCTCATTAACGAATGAGAGTTTTGAGCTGAACTTTAACAGGGACTCATTTCACAAGGATTTCTGACCTAAGGTGCCTTAAGACGCGGCAAGTGATTTCATAACAAATGCACCCAACCCGAATTACGCACCTAAACGTAAGGTTCACCTTACCAATCGCCTTAGGTGCACCCAACAGCTCAATAAGCTATGGTATTCGATGGATGCAATGGAATGGAATTGTGAATTCAAGGGTTCGGAATCG